TAATTTCAATCCGTTTCAATCTTCTTGAGTTTTGCCCATGCGTGACATCTGTTGTATCTGTTTTGTTATTTTAACCTTCCTTTAAAGTTTGAAGTGGTTATTTTTATGTTTCTCTTAATTTAACGGGCATTTTGTAATTTCCTAATTTGGGCTGAATTTCGTGACACAGCTCCTTTAAATATATTAAAACAGGCAAGCAAGTAATCAGAACTATCAGCCCACATATCATACCAATGCTCAGATTGTTTTGAATACCTCAAACAAATCCCTTCTTAAATCAACACACCCAAAAATAATTTCCTGACCCCAAAAAATGCCAGACTGAAAAATTTCAAACCTCAAAAATCTTTTGATCATCCCTGCCATTTAAATTATCCCTGTTACCTTTTCAAACTAAATTCTGTTTCTAGACTACGGTGTATCCTCACTGGAGCAGTGGTCTCTCACTTCCTTTCGGGATTTGTATATTCTGGGTAAGTTTTGTACATTGTAAGTTTTGTAAGTTTTGTTTTATCTTAGAAATCTAGACTAGTTTGACTTAAGTGATGGTGTTTTCCTCTAAATTCTCATGTTTCTTTTTGTTATTCTCGCTGTTTAATCCTCAACTGAAAGACCTTTTTATTTTGATGCTGATTACCATAACAAGGTTCTGAAGTTTTTTTATTCTAGAGTGCAACGTTTTTTGATTTGACAGCTACTTGTTAATTTGCTTCGGTTACTTTTTAGAGTTTGTTACGTCAGCTAAGTTTTTTTTTTCACAACTCTTATCATAGTTCTGCACAAGTATGGCTGTCTGCTTGGGGTTTGGAAATGCAATATAAATCCCTATGGTGGCTTGGTGCATATTAAGGTATGGAAACAAAGTCGTTATTGTTGTTCTTGTTTTTTTGTACAAACTTTTTCCCTTGTCCATCCTGCAATTGTCATGTTTTATACCTGGAGCACGTGATATTAAGGTTTGTGTCAATTCTATTTTTTCTAGTTTTTCTTTTGTAGTATGAATAACTTAAGGTGAAATACAAATTTGCCGTTAAAGTTCGAGACGAACATTGGATAATCAGTGGACGCGATATTCACGTGTTTATTATGTTTGATTCCGTTATTACCAGACAAAGTTTTGAGAAGATCTGTGAGGAGAGTCGTTTACACCGGACACAGCTGAAACTACGGTTCATAACTTAAATCGAACGACCAATATGTGGCTTGGTTGTCAAGGGATTCCCGAGTAGTGCTGCCAAGATGATGTTGATTATGATGAAACTCACCAAAGTGTGAGGATGATTTTCGAGGTTCAAGAAGGTCTAATGTTTTCAGATCAAGTGCAATTGTACATGAAAACGAATGTAAAGTAATGTTACAAAAGGTTCTTTCTTGAGAGAAGAACTGTTGAAAAGCCGAACTAAAGCAAGGAGATTAAAGGGAGAACACTAAAACTAAGAAATTGAAATCAAAGTAGCTGAGGATGCTGTAGAGTTGGCTAAGACTAAGGTCCAGTTTTAAGAGGAGCTAGAAGATGCCTTTAGAAGTCCTATTAGCGGAGCAAATAGTGTACAAGACATAAGCTGTGAGGAACAAACCAAAGACATTACTGAAACCCATAACCACAATAAGGAGTTGAAGAAAGGACTCATAAAGTTGGATTTTACAGGACGTAAATCCAAGTTGAGAGATGGGGAGTCAGCATTAAGCGCACCATAAGCTCAGAAATCGTGGGTCGAGCGGCTGTCCACGATGGACGTATCATGGGTTTGCGAGCTCGCTCTAGCGAGGGACAGAAAAGTTTAAAAAATGTGAATTCAGACAAGTATGACTAAATCGGGAAGAAGGAAAAGAAAAAAGGTCAGTAGTTCATCGAGTTTTGAGGATAATACAACAGTCCAGCAAGAGGAAGACGAAGAGTCGGACTCAGAAACGTCTGCAACAATGGCGGCTAACGACAACGTTAGTGAAACGCCTTCGCTAATTGAAATATGGAAGGTTCTAACGCAAATCAAAACAAATAAGGAAAAGCTGGTCTTAAACATGGAATCTCTTAAAGGAAATTACAAAGAGCTAAAAGAAGCTTTGCAAAATACCAAAGGACAAGTCGACACTCTTGTCAAAGAAAAGAAGGCTGAAAAAGCAAGGTAAAATGACTCGAGCAGCAGCTATTAGAGTCCAAGAAGGAAGTGGAAGAGTTGGATGGAAGGCTTATAACGATATCGAAGCCAGACATGATGACCTCGAGCAATATACTCGAAAATTCAATCTGGTTATACACGGAGTCCCTGAAGTTGGAGAAGAAGATATTAAACGTAGCGAATGTTGTTACAGTAGGAAAACGTCTGCAAGTGAATTTAACACCCGGGGACATAGAATGCATCGAATGAACACGAAAAGCAAAGACAAGCCCCGACCAATCATCGCCAGATTTAGCAACTACAACGCAAAAAGCAAGTTGTACAAAGCTAGACTAAATCGCTTCGAAATGCTAACTTGAAAGATGTAGGGGCAGAGAAGATATTTATTAACGAGAACCTATCGGCGTGGGAGCCGAGCTTTTCAAAGAGGCGAGAAAAGTAAAAAAAAAAAAAAAGATCACAATGGTAAGACATGGCCTGTTAATGGCAAATTTTTTTGGAAAACAGACATCACCGCTAAAATATTGAGAATTGACTCCCACGAAGATCTTCGAAAGACCTTTAATTTTCCAGACGAACTGCGGAAGAAAAGGAGAAAAAAACGATGACCTGCGAACACTAACTTTTCTTCTACATACTTGGTAAATTACTACAACTGTTTTAAATGTACCTCTCTAGCTAGCACCAATGAGCTTTCTTTTAGGCCAGTTGGTATTTTAATACCCAAGAGAGGTAAGTAATTTGTATCTTTGTTTGCCTGTCGTTTTTTGTTTGTTTCAGTGTTTAGTTTTTGCTTAATTCTAATCAACGTTAATGTTCTAGTGTTATGTCTTTTTTTAAGTTTTTGTCGCTTAACGTGAGAGGTTTATGAAATCGAGAAAAAAGAAGATTAATATTTACATGCTTGAAAAACCAAAAAGCTAGCGTTTATTTTCTTCAAGAAACCTTGTCGAACTCTAGAGATGAGAAGGTTTGGGCGGCGGAATGGGGTGGTCAGATTTTTTTATTCACATGGATCAGATCATTCCAACGGCGTGCGTTATTAGGCTGATTTAGCAACAGAACGGGAACGTCTGTTGACGACCGCGCGCGCAAATCAAACGACTGGATTGACCAATGGCAGAGCGGCAAATTGAGTTTAGTCCTTTCCACGCGCTTACCCGTCGGCAAATTACGTTCCCGTTCTGTTGCTAAATCAGCCTAGTGGAACTCGACACCAATAGGAGATTTATAATTTTGCGTCTAAAAACACAGGGTGAGGCCAGGTTAGATGTGGTCAATGTTTATGTCCCCACAGATAATCGTGAACAAAAGGAGTTCCTCAATTCTTTTAACAAAAAAATTATATCGTTGACTGATACTTCTAATTTAGTAATGGCAGGTGACTGGAATACAACAATAAGTCCATTAGATAAGCAAGGAGGTCTTACTTGGGAAGAAACTAAGTATAGAAATTCATTAATTCATTTCATAAAAGAGATCAATTTAGTTTACAGCGAAATGCATCCTAAAAATAAATCCAACACATACGAATCAAAGCCTTTGAAATTAAAATCCCGAATAGATTTTTTCTTAGTACGTGGTAAATACAAGCCAGATATTACTAAGGTCGAAACGCGGTTATCTATCGCAGCTGATCACAAAGCAGTCTTCTTAAGCATGAATGTTAACGAGGAATTTAAACGTGGACAATAAATTAAGAGAATTTGGTTACAAAATTCTCCATAGAATTGTAGTGACCAATAAAAAACTTAAGAAATTCAAAATCAGAAATGATGGTTTTTGTGATCAGTGCAAGAACCCTGATTCACTGGAGCATACCTTCTTACAATGCCCTGTAAATGTTAAATTTGTATCATGAAAACTTATCATTGTGTTATGTGTCCCATAATACTCTTATAAATCTTTCCTCTGAGCAAATTCTGATGCAAAAATATATCCCTGGTCCTATAAGTGATAACCTCAGACGCCGCCTAGAATTGCTCATCCTGTTTATTAAAAAGTATGTATATAGTTGTAAAATTAATGTGATGCCCCTTAACTGTACGCAATGTATAGATAATTTAAAAACACAGTGGAAAATAGGAAGATTAACTTAGAGTAATTATTCTCTCTCTTAGCCTTCTTACGTGTAATTAATTAATAATTAGGCTAATAATGTAAGTTGTGAGCAATGATGTTGTAAATTAGTATTACGTATGTTGATGTCAGTAATTTCCATTTACTTTTTTTGTTCTCTTTCCCTTTTAGTGTGTTTCTGTATTTTTGTTTTTCAATGTCATTATTGCAAATAAATAAAAAATAAGCTCAGAAATCAGCATCCACAATGGCGTGAGGAAACAGCCGAAATTCCATCAGCATGGAATTTCCGTGGGGAAGGCCCTTTAATATTGTTGCCCACAACATATTGGACAACTGCATGCAGTGACAAAGGTATGAGTTGATGGGTCAAGCCTTTCAAAAAACGATGGACAAGAAGCGTTGGAGATTGCGGACTGCTTAAGAACTCTCTAGGAAATGAACACCTGAAATTTCGCAATAATGTCGAGGAAGCTACTGCCTGTTGCGGTGCACATTAAGTAGACAGATGAGTCTTTCCAATTAAGGGAAGGTAAAGGTTCTCAACTCTGAAGGAAGTAGTGGAGTTTATTGAAAGGCGAGGAGAGGCAGCTGATGACCTTATCTTTGGAGAGGTTGGAGAGACGAAGCAGTTCCTTCAGAGAAGAAACCCAAGGTGTGGCCGACAACCGTTGCCCGCGAACTCCAATGCAATATTCCACGACATCAAGGATTAGGTTCTGCCGATGAGCAGGGAGGTACAAACCGTTTATGTCTGTGGGAAGAGAGTGACCTTTAGAGGCGCTCAATATTTAATGTATCTTTTGGGTCACATGTTTGCCTGAAGAGAGCTGCTAAGGACTGTAAAGGAAGATTAATGTGGGGGCTGTGAATGCTGTCAACGATTTCTTTTACGTAAATGACGTCCTCGAGTCAGTAAGGACAGTAATTGAAGAAAGCAAACAGAGTGAAATGTCTGCTCAGTAAGCCGGGTTTAGAATGACCAAATGAGTAACAGTCGAGAGATGCTGTCCGAAGTACCTGATGCAGAGAGTGCGAATCCAACCCCGGATTTGGAACTCGAGAACCTTTAGTTTCAGTGACAGAACGCTAGGTGTACAATGGGATTTAGAGAAACACCGGCCACCTACAAAACGTGGAATTCTGTAAGTTTGCTGTATGATCCAATGAGATCTCCTTTCCCGGTTTTCTTGAAAGTTAAGAAGATTATGCAGAAAATTTGGTAGCAGAATCTTGGATGGGACGATGAAATACCAGAAGATTTGTAGAGCCACTAAAACAAGTGCAAGTGTGTGTTGGCTGCCTTATCACAATTTCAAGTAATTACGAAGCCACATGATTGATAGAACCGTACGTACTGGACATATGATATTCCTTCATGTATTCTTGGATGCTTCCGAAGACGGTTACTGAAAGTGCGCCTGTCAGATTTTTTTATCACTTTGAAATTGTTAGATGTCATTGGCGTTTCGACTTGAAATGTCAAGGAGTTCGCCAGTTAGACCTCTGTCACTTCCAAGGCTTAAGTTACAAGCAGCCACAGTCTCTATTAAGTACAGAGTGCTGATTACAAGAGTGCTGAGCACAAGATTAGCAAGGTTATTTTTTGGTCGGATTCTCAGAGTGACGTTGCAGTATATTAAGAATGGAACCAAGCGATGCGGTTGCCTTGCCCGACCAATGGAGGTTTTGCTCAGGAAGGATCAATCTTGTCAATGATTCTTCACTTGGCTTTAACCCCAGAAACATCTTGAAACAGAGGACCTGAGTTCCTTTGGGAGGTAGAGGAATGCTGGCCAAGTGCAAAATGTAGAGAAATCCCAGATAGCATCTCAGAGGTGCAGACTTCAGCCAAAGTTCAACTTTGCAGTATACGAACGCACCGTACTGACGGTCATTAAACCGACTCTCTAACAAATAGATTCCATGTTGCCGTGCGTCTGTTCAGTAATAGCTCACAGGTGACGTCAGAATGTGATAAAAACAAAGAAGTATGTCACTGATGTTTTTATCACATTCTGACGTCTTCTGTGATCTATTACTTGGTATCTACTTTTCGTCTGTGCTTCTTCTGTTTTCTTTTTCATACTTGAATACAGTCTCTTCGAAAAGTTTTTTGAATGTCTGTTCTTGCTGAAAGCAAAATAACGGCGGAAACATTTTGCAAAACAGCGAGTCTCAAGGAGTGATGACACACAATGGCAACTGTTGTGAAGGTTTCTTGCAGTTTAGGCATTCTTAAGTTGTCAGCAAACTCTCCATTTTCCTTCTTTGTAAATAGCTCTTCCTAAGTCTTTTTCGAGGCTTTGACTTGCTTAATCAGAAATAATTTCACAAAGGTATTCAAAACCGCGCGCGCAAGTTTCCCGTGACGTACTCTAATAGATCACTGGCAACGAACAATCACAGCGCGCGTAGCATTCACGTCATTGTATAAAGTGAAATGGAAAGACGGTCGTGTAGGCTTAAAGAGGCTCATAGAGACCTGCAGCTTGTGTGCCGTGTTACAGGTGTAGCGTGGAAAGTTCGATTCTGTCACGTATACGAGGATTGTCCGCTCTAGCGGCCCATAGGGAGCTTAAGCAACGGCGACGGCAATGAGAACGTCAAAAAAGTAATAGGTTTAGATTGACAAAACAACAACTTTGCACGTGCAACACGCTTTTCTGTACATTTCTTTGCTTTCACTGCACGACTTCGACGTGAAACTGCCTAATTTCACGTTTTGTGGGGGACTTAAACAGCAAGACAAACACATTCTTTTTCCTGAACTTCGATACAGTCTCTTAGAATTCAACTCCAGAAAAAATCGCCAACATTTGAGGAATTGAACGAGATGGAATAAGCGCGGTAAAGTTTCAAGCAGCGCGAATTGACTTTAAAGTTACGTTTTCGGAGCCGTCGCCGTCGTTGTTGCTTAAACTCCGTATTGACTTTAATGGAACTGTATCAACTTAAGTTTTTGTTCGCTGTATTGAGAACGAATGCTTTCCTGAAGATGTGAAGGAAGTGAAGCAGAATATGGAAGGGAAGAAAACTGGCGGCGGTCATTTTGGTGTTCCAAAACAATAAGCAGTTGCCATGTTGTTTTTCCAAACCAATCCTGTGGTAGTTCAATTCTTTTCTTAACAAACGCTTTCTTTTGTTCAACTCAATTGTCAAAGATGCTGACCACGTGAGTGAAAACTTTCTCTCCTCTTTCAGGCGTCACCAGGAAAGATTGAAGCTCTTGAGTGTCGTGCGCCCTTTGATCCCGAGATAACAAGTCCTTTGAGACCCAAACTTATGTTTACTATAACAGTACAGGATGGAGAAATTGTTGCTTTGTGTTTCAGCGACTGGGAAGTAGAACCACACAGAGGAAAGCTTTCTGTAAGTTTGTTAAATACAGATAAACGCATCCTTCCATCTTCATTCAAATACCACCTTGTCATTAGGTAGTGTGTGCACATTTACATTTGTGGCCTTGATTTCAATGGGTCTCTCCGTGGCACAAACGACAGGGTACCTGCCCCTTGTTTTGTAGTCTGCTACACAGCCGTTCTTGTGTCATCACGCAAGCGGAGAGGGGCGTTTCGTGACCACACAGAAAAAAAAACAGTGTAGCAGACTACTTGTTTGGGAAGTGAATGGTGAATCTTGGCTGGAACTCCAGAGCCTGACTTACTCCACGCTCGTTACATGGTGATTGTCACATTCACCATAAAATATTGCACTCTTTCTTTTTCAATAAGTATTCAATTTGTAAATAAAATTAAATTGTAACCCCGCCTTATGACCCCTCTGTTTAAACAACCACCTTTTTTGTAAAACGTCCTGGTTTTTCAATCACATTGCTTTGGTCCAAACCTAAAATAACTCAGTCATTTTCACTGATATCAACACCACATCGATAAGGCCAGGATTTCATGGCTCAGTGGTCGGGATAAATTAACAGGGTTCCATTATATAGTGGCTCCTTGATTGCGTCAACAGAACGAGTCATTGAGGTCCCATTACATATATAATGAAGACGAAAAAGAAATTTAACGAAAATACAAAAAAGTAATATTGATAATTTTCTACGAATTACCCATAATACACCTCGTTTACCCCCAGAAATTTTGCATTACTTTTGCTTTTAATTTAACCTGGGTATTCATTCGTCGCTAGAGAAATATACCTTATTCGTGATACCCGTCATCTTGGCGCGCTCTTTAGGATTGATGGGATAAAAACAATCTCAAGTGGTATTTCAGGGGGCAAAAATCTGCCAATAGGAGTAATAGCGGTCGAGTTTGTTCATTTGCTCAAAACGAAACAACATTTTTAGTCCGTTAAAAATGTACAGTTCGAGTTTCGACAAATTTTACGTCACTATCGCTTGCTCTGAGGATATCTACGGTCGCTACTGCATCCAGAAAAGTAACAGTGATCACTTCCACTCATAATTTACCATTATCGTGTTAAAGATAAAAAGTCATTCTTCATTGCCTGTTGTCTAGAATAAACAAACTTGAACGCAAGTTCTTGTATTTGCAGCTTTATTCCTTGTTTTCCCCTCTGAGAAACCACGTGACATTGCTTTCATCCCATCAGTGCTTGAGTACGTGCTAAGATGGCGGGTATCGTGAATAAGCTCTATTGAAGACAATACTTATGCAAGCTATTTTTGAGGGGGGTGTGGTAAACAAGTTCAGTGTATTATGGGCAACGTGAAAATGATGAATTGTCACCGTTTTGGAATAAGGTTTTTGTAGTCATTTCTTTAATGAGTTAATGTATTATTCCTTGTCTTCTTTGGCCTTGAAAAGCTTCATAATTATTTGCGGTGACAATTCATTGTCCTGACGTGATATGTCTTAAATTTGTTTTGTTTTGTTGGTTTTGCAAGTTTCTTTGTGTTAATGTCTTTTCAAACTAATTTAATATTTAAATAACAGCTGGAAGAGAACGAGGAAGGAGAGGTTGTTCAGTTCTCATTCAAGTGTGACAGCGAGTCAAAGCACGAAATCCCAACAGACAGAGAAGAGGTTAGTTATTTTAAGAGTGACACTGATACACTGGTACGAGTGATTGACTGGGAAATAAATTCCGCATTGTCTATTGAGTGGACGAGAAATTTTTTATTGGGTAGCATAGGCCTTAAGGTACCATTTATAATTTTGTACCGACTTAACAGCCAAGTTAAATGAGAAATACTAACACCAACAGTTTATGGCCCTTTTCTTGAACCATTGCTTCGGGGTTTAAGCAGCTACGTTTTTGATCGACTCACGTCAACCGGAAGAAAGCCTTTTCTTTTTTATGACGCTGCAAAATTTGTATTGGTAGAGTCGTTTGCCTAAAAAGTTGTTCGATATTACGGCCCAAGAGTGAAAAAACAACTTCCAGTTGACTTGCGTCGCGCAAAAACGTCGCTGCTTAAACTTCATAGAGTCAAAAGCACTGCACGTGGCTTACTCGAATGCGGTATAAAAAGTCGTATGTTATAATTTGGAGGAAATGGTAGCGTGGCGTTGTACATGTAGAATCTTATTAGCATTGGAATACTGTACATCTACCGCTAAATAACACGCATAACATAACGTCAGTGGTCGTTAACTTGTACTAAGAGCACTGTTTATGTATTTTTAGGGTATGGGTGTTCTAAGAAGATGGATGAAGGAGGAGTATAATAACGAAAACTTGTTGTTTTATCAACCTCACATGGTTCAGCTTGTCCTCATGAAATATGTTACAATGCACTCTTTACACAAGTAAGACATTTAACATCTGTTGGTGGTTTGGGGTTTTGTTTGTCTTAAGGTGAGGTTACACGAGACAATCCGCAACGATGACTTTTAATGCAACCCTTCGTTGTAATGCTGGAACAATATTGTAGGCATTCAAACCAATGCTGCAACAATGTTGCAAAACTGTGTTGCGCTAAAACTCATCGTTGCGAATCGTCTCGTGTAACACCACCTTTATATCACCATTCGAGCAGAAGCTCGATTGAGGAGAGGCTACGCCAGAAACGCGTCAAGCGTTTGAAGTTGCCGAAGCTTGAACTTCTGGGCAAGTCAATCGTCTTTTCTCTCTTCAAAGTGCTTTTTCTAGTGCGAGCATCCGTTTGTTGATAAAACCGATGGTTATAACTGAGCCCGCTGTACCAAACAGCGGCAAACGCGCGGCTTTTAGGCCTGGGTTTGAGACTGCACCCTGGAAATAAGTAGCGCATGCTCAACAAAGATCTTTCTCGATTCATTTTCGATTCATACATAGTGTTTCTCGAGTACGCGAAAATTGAGCAGTCGAAGAAAGGCTCTGCCGAAATGGTGGTCCTATATATCACAGAGCTTGTAAACGTACTCTTGCACCAAAGGAAAAACCTTAAACTTCCGCTTACAAGCCCAGGGCTTATGCAACTTCGTAAGGGGTTTTAGGTAGGAGTGTAACGATTCATATTCCCTGCGATTCGATTCGATTTTGATTATTTCGATTCGATTATGTAAATGTTTCTTAATTCTTATAACATAACGCGTAATGTTAACAACATGCAACCCTTAACCCTCAATTGAACATAGTAACAGGGACAGGAGGATTCACAGTCGCTTGGTTCGTCGCCATGTTTGAGAACCTGACAAAGAACGTGTCACACATGTTTGCCTTATTTGGAAATTCTCAAGGGGTGGTTGAAGGACAGCATTTTTACAAGGCAACACAAATGGCACACGAACTGCTATCGTCTTTGCTTGTCAATCAAAAACGCACATTTTAAAGAGTTCTGGATTCTGATTTTACAATATAATAACTCACTGAGGGTGTGCAAAAATCGAACCAAAATCGAAACGTGGAAGCAAAGAATCGTGAATCGAACCGAACGGTCATAATCGCGATTAATCGAGAATTCGATTAATCGTTGCACCATTAATTTTAGGAGGGCTTACAAACAGGGGACTTATACCCGGGGGGCTTACAGTTGAACTAAAAGAGCTTACAAAAACAAAATACTGTTTGAAGTTATTCACTTTTTTAAGCTTGAAAACGTGGTAAACAATCGAATTCATTTCAATACAAGGTAGAGGGAGGCTTATATATTTGGGGAGGTTGTAATGTATGTTTTCTATTTACAGGTAGATGGACCTATGGGACTTTAAGATACACCGTTTCTGCCTACGGGTACGGGTAGTCGAACATGTTTGCCTCGTCATTATACAAAAGGCGACCATGATTTCCCAGATGTGATAACGGTATCACCGTTCTACCCGGTAGCCTAGCCGTTTCTCCGGTGTAAAAGGCTGTCTACCCGTATTTACAGCTCCGCGTACGGGAAATGTACCCGTACTCGTACACGCTTTCGGTGTATGTTACGGTCTCTATGGGGGGGGGGGGGGGGGGGGGTTTATAGGGCTTATAACCGGAAGGTTAAGGTTCCTGCGTATAAGTAGTATAGTAGAGACGCTTTGGGACGTGTTTTGGGCAGGAATCGTCTCAGTGTGGAAGGAGTACATTAACATTAATGCTGTCATATGCCAGGGTCTTAATCATGAAAACTCGTTAAACTGCCGTTGGAATTGTGAAAGGCTGACTTTTATTAACGAGCGCAATGCTATAAATTTTACAGACATTTATAAAATTTGACTTCTTAAGTCATCTTGAAATTTCTTGCTTTCTTTAGAAACCCGCTTCAGTTTGAGGCCCTTCGAATTCCTCGTCGTAGTGGCAACAACTCTTTGCTGGCTGCAGGTGTATTTAAGGTATATATTGCCCTATGATGGAAAACAAGGATAGATACAAAGTCATCAAGGCTCAATGAACTAAGTATTCTTAGACCTATCATATGTCAGTTGTGCTCTCCTCCTCCTCCTTCTCCTCAACAAAATTTGGGTTTAATACAAATCAGTGTCTTATTTTTCATGAATCTGAAGACACTTCTCATCAACCTTAAACTGACTTCCTCACTGTAGTAGACCGCTCAAAGCAATAAACAGTTGTAGCTAGTAACGATTTGATTATGATGTCGCCTTAAAATTATTCCTCTACATAACACGCGTGGTTTGTGGCGTTATAATGCATGCGCGTGCTTCTGCCTTTTTGTGGCTTTTCACTCGACATAACTAACTAATGCCATGGTCGCAATTCTTCTCCCTGTTAGGTTACGCAACAGATAACAAAATTTTGAAAGTTCACATCAATTGAATCAGTAGAGTTTTAAGAGTAAAATGATGTAATTTTGTTGCCTATGATCGTCTGCCTACCTCTCTAATGTTTGCTGCAGTATCATTGTTTCCATGTTATTGCAGGGAACGTACAGCAGTCATGGAGTGGAACTTGTCATGATCTCTTTTACCGACCAGAAAATGATAGGCACAAAGATAACGGTACGTAGCTCGAAAAGCACAAATGGAGATTGCTTGTTTAATCTTTTTAAAAATCCTGCCTATTTGGCTATGATGTGACCATTCAAATGAAAGCTCTCTGCCTGTACTTACACATGGTGCTATTTGTTTTTCAAAATTTTACAAAAGGAAATTTGGAAATCTGTTTGAAATTTGCCTTTGGCTACATTTGGCAGTGAACTGCTTAAGAAACTGTTAGTAAAAGCGTGGCAGAACAGCACGACACCAGCAATTGCTTCCCCGCGAAACAACGTCTGAGAAACGACCGCAGAAATTCCATACTGATGACTTGTCACTACCCAGATTAGCCTGTGAAAACAGTCATCTCTTCTCGCCCCTCGCCGTTTGGGACGTTTCGCCAGAAAGGGCGTCTGCGCCTAAGCGACAGAAATTCCATACTGATGACGTAAAAGCTGTCCGGAGTCTGGTCAGGAACTCTGATTGGTCGACGTCGTAGTTATATTGTTATGAACGATAGAAAAAAAGCAAACAGTCACAAAGGTCAAATATAAACACGAGGAATCTACTAAAAACAATCAATATTCTTGAAATATATTTTTCTTCAGAGGAAGCATTGTAATTTTTCTGGAGCTCGTTCGCAGAAGAGCTCAAAACTATACCATGATCAACCAGGAGAACCATAAAAGATCTAAAAACTAACAAATTTACTTTTGGAACCCCATGACTACCGGATTAATTATGTCAACACTGGTTTACGTCATCAGTATGAAATTTCCGTCGCTGAGGCGTAGACGTCCCTCCTGGCGAAACGAGGAACGAGAAGAGACGGCTGTTTTAGCAGGCTATACTCAGATCTAGGAAATGCCTCCGATTGGTCGTGCCCCGTGGGAAAATTGCTTCAACCAATCAGAAGCACTACCCAGATCAGGTTAGTTATGCGTCATCAGCATGGATTTTCTGCGTTCCACCCTCAGGCGTCAGTTTGCGTGGCGAAATTTCGTCCGTTTTCTCAAGCTAGGTAAGAAATAACGATGAAGCGTAGTTTCTAGCTTACCTAGTCGCCTTTAACAGGGAGACCCTAATGTGCCAGGAGGGGAGGTGACGTTTGAAGTCGATCTTACAAAGCCTTTACCTGATGAAGCAGCAGCCGACAGTGGAGAGCCGAAAAGGTTTAGTCTTCCTCAAGGTTATGAAGCGAGATATACAGACTTTCCCAGCCACTACAAGGCTAGGTAGGAGATTTTTGGTTTTAGGCATACAATTTTCTGCTTGGGTGTGGTCCTGTTCCGGGGATTGATCCCTCTTCCGGGGGAGGTCTATTTAAATACGCGGATATGTACCATCCTTTGGATTACTGACACTACGCTGATAAAGAAGGTGCTGTTTGCGAAGTATAGGCGTCCATACAAACGGGACTCTTGGATAAATATCGCTTAATTATTAAATGTCTCCATTGATCAGGCAAAGAGGTCTACACAAGATTCGCTGCACTGGTCGACCGTGTATTCGCCAGTGCAACTCCCTGGTAACAGGTTTACCGTCTGGAGGATTTTAACTGTACGGTACTGTAATGTGATTAGAACGTTCCATATGCGAGGTTTTTTCTAAAACGGGGGTATAATATAACCTCTCCGTATCGACACCTGTAATACGAAGGTTTCACAGTGCACAAAAGCTTTACAATATCCACAGCGTTAGATTGGTTCGGAATTAATGTGAATGAAACATTCTTCTTAAACAGTGTCCTATTTCTGGATGGTAAATGTCGACCAGAAAATCACCGAAGTACCCCTCCCCTCTGTTGTCATGGAAACCTCGGGGTCTGATAGAACCAAAAACTAGAATCTACGAGACTAACAAAAACGCTCTGCTTCATGTTGTATTTCTCTCAGCTCGGGTGTATTAATACTGTCATATATCTCTAAGCTGCACAACCCTGAAACCAGCATTTTTTTTTACCGGAGCTCTTGTTTTTTTTTTTTTGCTGAAAGAGGCAAGGCACCGGTTACGGTATTACATTATGACTTTACGCGCCAAACGGTCTCTAATAGTTTCAGTAAACCATGGAGACTAGCTCATACAAGAATTAAAAATTAGTAGTTCAACATTTCCATCTGACAAGGTGTTGGAGACTTGTCATCTACATGTTGTCAGCAGTTTTGATCCAATTTGCTCGCGTCCTACTTTGTTTTTCTCAACAGTGGAAACCATTCAGTGACGTGGATCGTCCAACATATTCTTCCAACGGTTACTGTCTAATAACTGAATTATTTTGGAAGATAAGATTTTTATTTAGGATTAAGATTATTTTAGGACATTTGATAAGGCCAACACAATAGAACTTGAATCCAATTGAATTCGCACCTATAGATAAACCCTTTGATGTAGTCACGAGATTATTACGTCCCTAGCGGCTCCTTTTTCCTTTTCGTCCCACAAGGTGACACAAGGATCCTTTCCGAGAAGACTAAAGTCTGTAACCGGTTGCAGATGTAAAACAAGGATAGCATATGCCTTCTCAGTTATTTTTAGAACCTTAGTGTTTGTCCTGCCCGGACGTAAGCCTAATCCTCTGAAGCCTGGTACCTAATCAACTCAATCAACTGAGCTAACTAGTCAGCGGTTATAGAAATGAATCCTGTTCTAATCGCGGTAAAGTTCCTTTCTCCTCTCCCCTATGGTTTTTTTTTCCGTTATATTGGATTTCTTTCGGTTGATCCATATCTTATGATGGCACAATCATTTCCCGTCGTTTTTGTGATATATTTTGCCTTCTTTTTTAACATATTTATCTCCTGTTTAACCTACCTGTAGATTTCACAGCGTCGGACAGATCGCTAGCCATGGGTTTGTGTCTCCTCAATGGACTCCCGCACACTTTGTTTTGTTTAACGATGACTTGTTTGGTTTCCTATGGATTGAACTGATGGCGTTCAGTGTCTATAGTAGAGTGACTGAGCCTTACCTGAAATGAAGCTGATAGAAAGCAACGTTCTCGACTCGGCGCCGCCTTTCACAGAGCTCGTACACGTATTGAAAACCGTTGAAAATTGATTTATAGAATTCATTGGGCAACGGCAAAAAACCAATAGGTTTAGATTGGCAAAATACGTGCACCACGCTTTTTTATACATTTCCTAGCCGTCGTTGCACTACTGCAACGTGGAAGTGGAACACAAGACACAAATTTCTTTTTCTTTTCCTGAACTTTGATACTGTCTTTTAGAATGGAACTGCAGAAAAAGTTGCCAACATTTTGCGAATTGAACAAGTTGGAATAAGCGCGATAAAGTTCGAAGTAGCGTGAATTCACTTTTTAAGTGACGTCTTCGTAGCCGTCGCCGTCGTTTTTGCTTTGACTCTCTATCTTCTAAAACACGGCGCACGCATGCCGTGATTGCCTCGCCTTGCCCGAGTTAACCCGGCTAGGCGAGCCAAAATGTTTATATGAAAAAATGTTGGCCCAGCTGGGGGAGGGTTACCCGGCCAGGCGGGGTTTCCTTCTAGCCGAGCCAATTTTATTTTTCTCATGTACACGGTTCGCCACGTTTTCCTAGGAAATGTATAAAACGGTAGCTCACCCAGGGTAGCTCAGGTGACCCTTCCACCAGGACAGCTTTTATCCATGTAATCGTAGCCTTGCTGTTTTGCTAGTGTCTGTATAGACCGTGTTCACCAAACCCGCCATCTTTGCACTCGCTTTCATGGAAAAGGCCCTCTTTCTATCGAGTCTTTACCTCAAATAGGGTATTCTGCTGATTTTAAAGAAAACAGGTTTCAAAACGGAAGTTCGTGCACTTCCTAGTAAAAAACAAACCGGTAATTGACGTTATTATAGACTGTGTATGTTAACCGATCAGGTGCTTCTGCTCATAAACTGTTTAGTTCATGTTGTCCTTCAGCAGCGTTATTAAAAATAAAAAAAAATGTTCAAATGAGGCCTTAAACTGCTGATGATGCCGTTGATCGGCGAAAGCTTGGATTTCAAGTTTATTTTTTTAATAACAGTTTATCGCCTCATTCAAACAATATTTTCATTTTTAAACTGTTTTGTGTTTTAACAGCATTTAAAAACCTAGGAATTTAAGATAGTTTCTCCAAAACATCTGATATTTTTAGTTAAATGCCTCAAGCCTCTAAGAAGCCACCGTTTAAAAGAATTAGCAGGGGGATAAATAGACAATTAGTCGAAGAGCCAAAGCAAGTTTTGGTACTACCTGAGGTGGCAAAGGTTATCATATATTTTCTTCACGTTCTTGTGATACAGAACAAGAAAATGTGTGATAGCAAGGTTACATTTGCAGCTCAAGGCTGTCACGTGACCTGAAAGTTGTTACCCTGTGCAGTAGTAGATAGTACCACCAAGGTAACTGTGTGTTGCGAATTTTCTATGTGTTTTGTACAACCAAGAGAAAATAGTTTCAAGTGGGCTAACAGTCTACAGATAATTAAAGCAATCGTATTTTCTCACTTAACCTCAATATACCCCATAGCATGCAAAATCGTTGGTGGTGTAAATAGCTGGCCCCCAGAAGGGCCTGCTCCAAATTCCATTCAATTTTCACACGGTGCACATCGTGAGAAATAATTAAAAAGGATTCCAATCCTTACTAAGATTGGAGACCACACCGGATTAAACCCCTCTGTGTTGCAATATAGCTCCAACGATTACCAAACAGCTTTCCCCACGTATTCCGACCAACCGATGTGGAGTGGAAAACTTTGCCAACAATCAGTGAAATCGTGGAGTCAACGGTTTTGTTATGACAAAAAACGTGTGTGTGTGTGTTTTTTTTAACTTTTCAAACTTTTATTAAATACTCCACAGCGTTACAATACTAACATTACATGACATTGCATGATATTACATTACAATAAATTACAAATACATTACATTACATTACACTATGAACTTTAACGGTAAAGTAACTATACAAAAAAAGAAAATACGTTCTAATTACAGACGACACTAGGGTACAGAGTCCAAAGGCAGTGCCCACTTCTTATTAAATTTATTCATTTTATTAGTTTTAACACACATGTATTTTTCTCTTTCATACTTAATTTTAACCTTGGATGAAAAGGCAGTTATAACCGGAGGAGTCTGATTTCTTCTACAACCCCATAAGTATAGTTTAGCGATCAGTATCAAATAATTCAGTAAAGGGCAATTTGTATATAATATTCCTTTAATAACGTCTTGTAAGGTCAGACAGACGAATTCTCTCGTCAATGTGTAAATTAAAGTAATATTGAAATTCCTTCCAAAACTGCTTGGTGTGTCTGCATTCGAAAAAGATGTGGTATAGGGATTCCGAATCCGTTTTGCATAGTGAAAATTTATCATCTTGGATATAACCTATTTTGCATAACTTTTTATCGCTAAATAAAATTGAATTAAGGACTTTGTATTGAAAAGCTTTTAGATAAGGTTCAAACTCTACCTCATGTGGAAGAGGGAATACGTTTTTCAGCTGGTCTTGGGTTAGACTGAAATCTTGACACAACTGTTTGGAGTTTTTTGGACACTGGGCAATTATTCTTTTAATTAGCATGTATAGTAATTTGTAGATTTCCTTTCCAATATTTCAAATTCTTTCTTATCGATTGTCAACATTAAGCATATTTCTGAGCGAAGACAATTGCTATTCTTTAAATGTTTTGGAACAGAGTGAGAAGCACTGCCCAAATTAGGTAGTTAATCTTGCTAATTTTATTCGAAACAATAGTAAAAGAATTGTGGTTTCTAATTCAAAAAAAAACTCATTTACGAAAATGACGTCTTGTTCGAAAAGTTTGTTATAGAAAACAGGCTTATTATCAACACGTATCTCTTTGTTATTCTACAAAATATATTGACATTCCCTTCTACTATAGAAAACACTACGAAACTCAGACCACCATTGAAGTAACTCCGAATGGAATTTAGAGGAATTATGTATCTCTTTAATGTCATAATTACAATGAAATAAAAAGAGGCCCCCAAAAGGTTCCAACGAAAACCGTAAAAAGCTTCTCCAAGCACCATTATTGCACTGTAAGATCCTTTTCAGCCAGGCTGGTCGTAAAGATTTAATCATACTTTCCAGATCGATCAATTTTAAACCACCGTTTTGATATTTGTTAATTGTGAAAAGTCTTGTCACTTTATCGGTTCCTGTGCACAAAAATTTAAATATCATTTTATTTAACTCTTTAACGATTTTCTTGGGGACCGGCAGAAGCGAGGAAATGTAAACAAATTTTGGTATGATTTAAGACTTGATAATTAATACTTTTCCATAGATAGAAAGATCTCTTGAAGACCAAATGTTTATGAGTTTTTTGACACTGTCTAATCTCTCAATAAAATTTTTTTCGTGCAAAAGTTTGATATCATATGAGTAATAAACACCAAGGGCTTTGATTGGTTCATCAGGCCATTTTATACCAAAAGGTTTTGAAATTTTATCTCTAGACAACCCGATCCACATTCCGTCAGTTTTAGATGAGTTAATTACAAGTCCTGATAAGTTCTTGAATACTTCGAAAAGGTTAAAAAGGGCCTGTGCCGAGTCAATGTCGGACAGAACGGCTGTTGTGTCATCAACATATTGAAGGAGTTTTGTTTTTTCGCCACCGATTTTAATACCAATTATCTCTGGGTTTTGACGAATTGCCAAAGCAAGAGTTTCAACTGCAACCACGAACAAATATGGAGAAAGCGGATCACCTTGTCTCACGCCCCTTTCCAAAGAAAAAAAGTCAGTTGGGAGACCATTGTTGATAACACAATTTTCAATATTGTGATAGTGTCCTTACCCACCAAATACATTCCGGACCAAAACCCAAGGCTTCTAAACAGCTGAAAAGAAAGTTCCATGCTAAGCTGTCAAATGCTTTGTGGAAATCTATAAATATCACTCAACCTGGAATATTTTCTTTCAGAGAGAATTCCATGAAATCAAAGATCGATCGAACAGTTTCACCTATAAAGCGGTCCTTCACGAAACCACTTTCGTTATGATGAATTATGCTGGTAGGACGTTTTTTATCCTGGTAGCTAAGACTTTAGAGATAATCTTGGCATCAACGTTGACAAGTGAGATCGGTCTCCAGTTCTCTAAAAGAGAACGGTCGTTCCCTTTCCTTTCAATGAGAGTGATCACTGCCTGTTTCTGGGAACGTGACATTTCACCACTAGTTGGAAAATCTCGTTGAGACAGTTGATGAAAGGTTCGCTAATAATTTCCCAAAATTTACTGTGAAATTCGATTGGAAGTCCGTCATTACCAGGAGTTTTGTTACCCTGAAAACTCTGTAAAGCTCTAACACACTCCTCCTCCGTAATGCTGCCTTCACACGAAAGCTTTCGTTCATCTGTGAGGCGAGGGATATTTAAACTATTCAAAAAAGTTTCTGTTGCTTGCTCGTTACCCAAATTCTTGCTCGTATATAATTCTTGATAGAAACCTTTTTCCTCAGAAAGAATTTTGAACGGATCAGTAGTGATCGAACCATTAATCTTCAATTTTCTGACCTGTTTTTTGACATGGTTCCTTTTCTGCAGATTGAGAAAGTATTTCGTACTCTTTTCACCGTGTTCACACCATCGCGCCCGTGTGCGAATGATGATACCTTGAGGTTTTTCTTCATAAAAATGCTCCATATTAAAATCGCTTGCATTTTCATTGGTAGGATCACATTCGAACGTTTGCTTTGCTTTGTTAAATTCATCTTGCAATATGTTCTCCTTATCTTTCTTTTTCTTTTGCTTTACGTTTTGAAAACTGCACTGCATGTGCTCTTGTGATCCGGCAGGTCACATCTGCCCTCGGCCAGCCAGACAGGCATTTTAGCCGTAACCTCCCTTTGGTAGTTATCATCTAGAAGAGAACAGTTCATTTTCCAGCAACCCGGACCTTTAATGTGGTTTTGACTAATATCAAAATCCAAGGAAATGGCTGCATGGTCTTTTTAATGGCTGGAATAATATTCGTTACTGAAACCGAATCTTGAAGATTATTTGAAATCAGCCAGTAGTCTAAGCGGCATAAAATCATTGGCGAGTTTTGGCTCCACGTGAAACCTTTTAAGGAAGGATTTTTAATTCCCGAAATGTCAACCAAATCAAGTTCATCTCGTAAACAGTCAATGGTTTCAAAAACTGATTTCCTCGGTAACATTGTACCACCTTTTTTATCGAGGGATGGATTCAGCGGACAATTAAAATCACCCCCTATAATCTGTATAATTATATTTTCTTCGTCTTCCAGGTTTTCATTTTGGAGTATCATTCTCAGATTGTTAAGAAAGGTTATAATGTCTTTATCCTTATTCCGTGCATACGATTTGTCCTTGATCTCCGCCTACAGGATCAAATAGCGCCCCAGTGGGTGGAATTTTGACAAAACAGTGCAATATACCCCTTTTTTGAAAAGTATGGCAACTCCGCACGAATTTGAACTTCCGTGTGACATAATCATATCACCTCCCCATTCATTTTTCCATTGTCTTTCAGAGTCTTTCATTGAGTGAGTTTCCTGCAGAAAGATTAGGTCGGCCTTTTGTTTTCGACACCACGTAAAGATCGTTCGCTTTTTACGAAAGTTATTTATATGCCCCTTACAGTCACTGAGGTCAATTTACTAGTGTCCAATACCATCTTGATGCAATCAGCGAAAAAAAGGTGGGGTTGAGAAGCTAATCAGAATAAGGAAAAAGGCAAAAAGAGAATAATGAAACTTGTACATTATAAAACGAAGTGTGAACCTTTGGGCTAAATACCGACAAGAAAAAACAAAGGACCTGCAAATTACAGTATCCATATCAAAAGAACCGAATATCATATATAAGTTGATTAACATCTTAATTACTGTACAAATGCCGAAAGATCCCGAAACGAAAAAAAACATGGAATCACGAATACCAAACACCCAAAACAGCTTAACACTGAAAGAAAAAAAAGAGGAGCGAGGAGAGAAAAAAAAACAAAACCCTTACCTATGCTCCAAATGAGTGAAAAACATTCGAGCCTTGCCGGAAGAAAAAACTACCTTTCGTAAACTTTCAATCTCATTTTCTAACTCCCTCACCGTTATGAATAAAGCGCACGAGAAATGCCTATTAAAACCGGACATATTTCCCATCAATGAAAAGCTTGTCAGGCTCGGATTTACTAAAATACGCACGTTAACCGTCTTTTCTGACATTTTTGAATTTGCATTTTCCTTAGTTCGTGTAACTCCTTTGGAATATCTTCAAACATCTTGAAGTTTGTGTCTTTAACCTTACGACCACACTTGAACACACGTTCCCTGTCCGAATACCTCAAAAGGCAGGCTATACTGTGCGGCTAGCATTTTCACTACCAGTCTTAGGTTTTCCCATTCTATGTGCACGTTGGAATTCGATGCCTCTCACATCCTCTACACTAAAATTAACAAGAACTTTTCTCGTGTCTTCAGCCAGAGCACTCTGTTGGGGTGAGGTTTCAAACGATTCTGGTATCCCTTCGAACTTCAGGTTTTCCCGGCGACTGTAGGCTTCCAGATAAAGGATTTGCTTACGGCATTCATTGATATCTGCTTTTCTCTCGTTCGCACTTTCCTGAAGCTCAGTTATTTTTTCGTCAATAAATTTTGCGTTTTATTTCATATGGGAATAATCTTCTTCAAGAGACTTCCTTTAACGACCCCGACGTCAGTCTCTATATAGGATACTTTAGTTTGAAGACCCTTCACTGTCTGGTTAAGCTCTTCAATTTTTTTATCCAGCTTTGTTAGTCTTTCGTTAGAAAAACGTGTCTTGATTTTCAAACCTAGTTTCAAGGCAGTGCTGGTTAAGAGATGAACTCGAGAAAGTCCCAAGCTTCGTTTCTTCAGAGTCGAATCCAGTTTTTCCTCCTTCCACCTTGAAGTTGGCTGTGTCAGTCCAGTATGTAGATGAGTAAAGGAACGTTTGCTGCTATGCAAGCCACATTAATCAACTGTACTTAA